TTAAAAAAAAAAAAACAATTATAACAAGACATTGTTTGTACAAACTTTTAATTGCGTATACTAGGTATTCGTATTATATCATGTGTTTCTCATATCGAACACCTATTTCATACTAGTATCAAGTTGAAGTGTTGAACATTTATATATATATATATATATATATATATATATATATATATATATATATATATATATATATATATATATATATATATATATATATATATATATATATATATATATATATATATATAAATAAACATAATTTTTGAAGGTGGACCATTTATATATACACAAAAACACAATTTTTGAAGGTGGGTTTTTTTTCCTACCTTTAACTCAATTTCCTTATTTTGCTTCTTGCTTTAAACAACTCAACCCAAAGATTAGACACCCACAACACACTAATTAAAATAGCATTCACAATCACAACCATCCAAGAACCCCAAGCCCACATCGGAACCACACCATCACCACCACCATTCCAGTAAAACACCACCATTTTATACACAAGCAACGGCCCCAACACCCCTCTAACCATCGTATAAAACCCATAAAAATAAGGAGATAAACCACTATACAACCATGCCGCCACTGCCACCTCATCTTTCCGACACCTAGCAAGGCTCCATATATTCTGACAAAGGCTAGTGACCTCCGCTAGTGCAAGGAGGAGGAGGATGGCATAACCTCCATAACCGACCACATAACGGCATGTTATGAACACATAAAGAACCGCTAAATGGTGGACAATGAACAAGTAATCATTGGGAATAAAGATTAAGTAATGTGTGGTGTCTATGAAGAAGTATGCAATGCTAAAGTCAAGAACAAAGGCTTGAAATGGTGTGTTTTGGGCAGCAAAGTGTTGGTAGGGTTTTTTTGGGTGTAGGAAATTTGCATAGATTGATAGGAAGACTACGGGGGTACCATGAGTTAAGGAGATTAAGCAACTTGAAGCATCTACCCTTTTCTTGGGATCCCATTTCTTAAAAAGTGTTGAGTAGCCAATAAGATATATTGAAATATACATGAGAGTGAAATATGGAAGTAATGAGGAATCCATATTTAGGGTTTCCATGGTGGTGAGATCAAAGGGGGAACCAAAATAGAAAGATATTGGATAAGAATTTTGTGTCTTGATCTTGAAAGTAGAACGAAAATGGTACGAATTGAATGGAAATGGGGGAATATTGTTTGATTTGGGTGGTGGTGCAAAAAGTACATATTTTGAAGTGAGAAAAGTCTTAAGATATTAAGAGGAAGGTGGTGTCATGTTATATATAAAAAAGAGAGTTTTATTACGTAAAGCAAATTGAGTAGACACAACACGATAAGCAATCTAAAAGTTATACCATGTGCTCATGGAATATTCTTTATATCTTTATTAATTATTGGAAAAACCTGAAAATGATTGTTATGTATGAATAATAGCTAAAAATATTAATCACAAGTTGAGCAATTGTAACATTTTGGTCATTATAGAGAGTAACCCTTTTATTTACTATCTCTAAAAATTTCATATTTGTACATAGTTATTAATTTCAAGTTAAAAGCTTTTACCGAATCACTAACTCAACCTGTAACTAGAACCTGTATTTAATTATCATCATGTCAACAAAGTTGTCTATTGCTAGATTATGTATCTCAATTAAATTCTAATCACTTACACAAACTTAACTAAATAATCAATTTCAAGATAAGATATGTTAAGAATCTTTTAGATGATATTTATCTTTTTTTTTTTTTTTTTTTTTTTTTTTAAGTTTATGAGTTTTCTCCCTCTTTGCAATTGCAATTTTAGGGCCTACTTAAGATGACTGGGTCATTTATATATGTGGCTGCCGCTGAAGATATCATATGGAGTTGGCCCACGTCAGTGGACTAAGATTCTATTTTCGAATAATTCAAATAATTTAAAAAAATATAAACAATTATTAAAATACTAAAATCATAATAAAATGTAACAATATATTATTTTAAAGTAAATTGTTTGTTTAAGTTGGAATAATTAATTGATTAAGGTAATAATTTTTTTTTAATATACAAACCTAATGAACGAGAAATTCATTGTGGAGATTAAAATGCAATTTGATCTATTCAAAAAATTGTTGCTTTAATTCTTTAATTTACATGTCTCGATATGTAAATTATTTTTTTCATTATGAATTTAAGTTTAGAATGGAATAGATCATTTTACAATTCACAACCTTAACATTTTTTATTCAAAAGAAATATAAAACTTATATATAATATATTTCACCTCATATTTGTATAGTGCACCCATATAGCTACAACTCTCACATACGTTATGATGGTTGATGAGAGAGATCAAAGGATGCGCCCTAACCTAGGTCTATGTTGACATTTGGTCCTGCGTATTTGAAAGATATTGTGGAGCCAGACTTCAGACGATCGCCAGTCAAACGAGATCGCAAAGGAAGTAGCTACAAACGAGTGCAACTTTTTCTATATTGTTGTTAATTATTAAGGTGTAGGTCGTAGTTTTAGGTGGTACATAAACAAGAGACAAAGACTAGAGTTTCTTATTGAGTCTCCTTCTCTTACTATTCATAGTTGAGAGATATTTGTTGTGAGGTTTTGATGTAAAAATATTTTGTGTACCGGTTATTCATTATAAGAGAAGTATGTTGATTTGTTTGTGTTTTTGTTCACTTTTATTTTAGCCACTTGAATATTTTGTCACGTTAAAAGATTTTACCAAACTAAAAAGTAGTTCATAAATTGAATTTATAAAAGCTGATTTTTTAAAATTCTACCAATTATAATTAATTATAAAAAAAAAAACTCACTTCCAATGTGCGTTCCCCCATTTCTTTTTTCTTTCTATTCCCGGATCGTCCAATCATGCCTTTTAAAATAGCAAGCAAATATTCGTTAAAAAGATCATCACAAATTGTTTTTATGAAGGTAATAGAAGCCGGTAGAAAATCTAAAGTCTATGAAAGTTATATAAAACGTGTTTCACATAAATAATATATTAATTAGATTAAGTATGTTAAATACTATCACATTTAACCAAATATCATGATAATTTCGTGAAAAAAGTTATTGTTTCATCGTTTCATTATCTCACACAATTTAGAAATCGTGTTTCTATTTTATCATTTAAGAATTATAAATAAATTCAAGGTATTTGCAGCTTTTAGGGCTTAGAATGATTCATAGAAGGTGTCTCAATTGTATGATTGAACATTCGAACATCAAGCATCGATCCTTTTCACTCTGACGAATGTGGTTTTGGATACTGTTCAACAATAGAGTGATTGTATATCTTGAAAAAAAAAATTGACAATCATTCAAGATTTAATCAACGATAACAATCGAGATTCATGCCATGATATTTGAGAAATTAAGTAATAATATTGCCAATATGATATTACATGCAAAAAGTCACTTAATTTAAGAAATTGTATTTTGTATTTGTCTTGTAATATTGAATCATTCGTTTATATGTCACATATCACATTATAAGTTTATATGTCACATATCACATTATAACTTGGACTAATAAAACAACTATCCACCAGCTTTTATAGCTTTTTATTGCTAGTTGCCTTTTTCGTAAGCAGGTCGATTGCCAAACATAGCTAGGGATCACATATAACATGTACACCACATCATGATTCAACTTGTTAGGCCCCATTGGTAAGTTCAAATCCGAGGGCCTTAACTAGAAGTAGTCAATAGAAGGGTATGATGCAATATTGAGAAGTTTTTTGCTTAGTAATTCGTCAAAAACGAAATTACATTAAAAAAGATACAAATTTCAAATCTTACGCATCCATAATATCCAAAATATTGTTGGTATTATTTAACTTTATCTTATGTGATAGCTCCAAAGACATGTACATGAACCATCAAGAGGGTGCATGATAAGTTTTTTTCCCTCGTATTTTATTAAAATAATTAAAATTACAAACTATTGTTAGTGATTAGGGTTTAGGTCAAAGCTTTTTTAAGTTTATATTAGATCTCTTATGTAATCCTATTTATATGAGGTTTAACCTTCCTATTCATAAAACAATCTATTATCTTATATGGTATCAGAGTTCTAGGTTAAAACCTTATTTCTGACAACAACCCGTAGCCGCCGCCCTACACCTCCGGCAACCTTCTCTAATAGCCGTTGGAGGTGGCATCATTATGTTCCTTATTTTTCTATTTCTACTTTTCTCCGCCTAAATAATAAAATAGTCGGATGGCACCAAATAAGAGCCCTTTCATCAGCTTCTTCTACTGCCTCGTTTACTTGCCTCCTCACCTTCCGCCTTCTCCTCGGTCAGCTATTTCTTCAGATCTCTTTTCCGATTCAGCCCATTCTGATGTTGTGACTGCCTCTCTCTAATGGCACATTCTCTGTCGGGCAGCCTCTGATCCGCAGTCGTTTTTTTCTCTATCAACATTGTAGTCGTTGATCTCGCCGATATTGGCTTCGTCCGCCGCAGCTCGAACCCTCTTTCTTTCTCACTGCCTTTCTCCAGATCCCTCTACCACCGGTTGCATGATTGTTATCGTCGCCGCCACTCCTCTCTTCTTATACAAAGGAACTGTTGCTCGTCGTCGCTTTTTTTCTCTCCTTCTCCGATACGCAGTTTTTAGACGTCATCGTTATAGCTCTGCTACCGCTGTCTTTATTTATGTTATGTTTTATGTTTTTTTTTCCAGTAAACAATCTATTATCTTAAAAGTATTACCAAATATCAAAAGTAAATTTTATAATTTCAAGCAACAAAAATGCACCTAATATTTTGAGTTAAAAATTTTGATACTTCAATATCATAAGCGAATCAAGTTTCACAATTAGATACTGCTTTAAAACATGTCTATGTTAATTAAATGTTTAGTGACTACTAACAAGAAAGAAAATAAGAATCTACAATACTAATACATAATATCAAACAATTAACCTCTAAAACAATCATATTTCTATACATATTACATTGAATGTTAGTTATACAAACCTAAACAATACCCTCCTAAACGACACCGTCTACTATTTTACAAAAGGAGATGACCTCACGATACCACCCACAAGCATCACATCCTATAACCTCGTCTTCGTCGTCAAATTTTCTTTTTCTAACATTATTTCTATCTTCACATTTGCACCCAACCTCATTTAATGAAATTGAATTATTGATCCACATTTCTCTTATAATTGCTTTAATTTTAGCGCGACACTCGCGTATTTTTAAATAATTGGATCTTGATACCTTCATTGAGTTTAAGATATCCAAGCCTTGTTGACTTGATTGACCACCTCTAGAGAGCATAATCATACCATAAACATACGTCGCCTCCACATGACCTTTCTCAGTTGCCCTTTTCAAGTACTCGAGCCCTGTTTCTATCCTCGCAAGACTGAAGAATTCTATCTTTAAAATTCAAATGGCAAAATAGTCATTTTACGTATTTCAACGAACGAAAAGCACAACAAAAAAACACTAAAAAAGTTTAGTCTCCTCCACATGGACACAATGTAAACCAATTTTCCCCACGGAATGTCATGTAGACGCCATGTGGGATTTAATATCGGTTTATCCACTTAAAATTGATGGAAATGGAATAATTAAGAACATATTAGATGTTTAATGATCTATTAAATAATCGAGGAGTTAAACAACAACATGTGTTAATGATACGTACCATTCCTTGTCTGAACATTGCCTCAGGGTTTCCTAAATCGATGCAACGATTTAGGAAAGAAAGCAGTTCATTACTCGGAGGAAACCAATGAATTACGGGAAACTTGTCAATTGAAACATGTTGAAAGATCGATTCGTCTTCTGCGGCTCCAAGAAATTCCCTACAACTAAATAATGAAAAATAAATTGTAATTTTATCCAGCTGCGGGCACAGTACAAAATCTCAATCAGTGGCGTAGCTAGATGGGGTGTTGGGGGTACTACAGCACCCCCAAAAAAATTATTTTATGTATATAAAAAAAATATATTTGTAAACAAGTTCTATTTAATTGTACCCTCAACTAAAAAGATTATATTATGTTTTTTAATGTCCCGGATATGATAACTACATAGAATATTTATTGATAATATTTGTACCTACATATAAAAATTTCTGACTCCACCACTGATAGTGTGCTTTAAAATTTGAGGGTTGTATCGTGATTTTCCTTTTAAAAATAATAGGAAAAAAATTATAGATATTTTATAGAAGGAAGTTGCACATGGTTAGATAGGTCCAAGAATAGAAGAGAATTCCCACTTGCTAACTAAGATGACATTTTCTTCACTTGTGTGTCATGTATCCATCCGTGGTCCCACAAGGACACAAAAATAATGAATGAAAGGGGGAAAGAAATCACATTATTGCTTGTCCCCACAATAGTTGGACGGCGTACTTATCCCAAAATAATTATGCATCACAAATTTATTTACCTTTTTAAGATCACAAAACTAAATGTAGTAGTCTCATTTTTCTCTTTCAATAGTGTTTACTATTGTACATACCAATATGTAAATGGTGTTTTTTTTATATAGATAAATATTTGTATTAGAATGTGTCAAATCAAAACATTTTTATTTGGATATAATGGTGACATGGTTAGAAACCATGGATTAGAATCAAACAATTATAACTCATATCATCTAGAGCTAAAATTAGAAACTATGCCTATGAATACATTAGGTTGAATGCAATAAATAACAACGTACATAGTACATAGTAAATAGTATCGTACTTTCATTTTTTATTACTATATTGTACTTTAAATTTTCTTTATCAGATATCTTTAAGAAGTATATTCAATTAAAGCATTGTACTTTCAATATTTGTCTTATTAGGATATATTATTTTGAAAATTCTACCAACTAATAATAATAATGTATTGTATTTGCATTGCCATTCCAATAATCAAGTAAAACCCTATTTGATAAATATGTTATTGTTCTATTAAGAATAAATTAAATATCAACCGTTTTTTTTTTTTCGAATTCTTTTAAAGAAAATAACAACCTACTTTAATTGGATACATCAACATAATGAAGTAAGTTGCCCAAAGTGTCATGCTTTTTGACATTTGCCTAAAGAAAACAAGACTTCTTGCCCCAATTTTCGTGATGAAAATGGTAATGATAAATTGATAATGATCTCAGAGTAAATTCTTTATCCCACACAAAATTGGAAATTCATCATGAAATCAAGTAAAGAAAACAGATAGAACAATATTTGTCCAATGTATATAAGAGAATGTTTCTAAATGCATTTGCATAACCTTAATGGCAAGTAATTAAAACCTAGACGTTCTACATTCATGATGCATGTATCAATAAGATGGAGATTTTAACGATTAACAGAACAGATTATATGAAATGGGGAAAAATAGGTGCGTGTGTGTGTGTGAATGTGATGCAGCTTGTAAAAGAGATGGAAACTTACCATAATTTGGCATTGAAGAGATCCGTGAAGGAAGAGGATGCAACTCGAGCAAGTACATCAATCAACAGATCGCCGGGAAGAGATCCGACCACCGGCCGTCGCTGCGACCGTCGTCGTTTCGTTAATTTACCTTTTCCGTTGATACTAACCGAGTTTTTCTTCCTTTTCCTCCTTCCGATCGATGATGATCTGCAATTTCTCTCTCTCCTCGCCATGGCGCAGAATCAATTCACAAGAACGCCAATTCTCAATCGATTAAAGAACTCCGATCGGAATTTACAAACTGGGAGTCCGATATCCTACTTATATATCTGTCTGTATGTATAATTCAAAAAAATTGTAATTAAGGATGATCAATAACCATAAATTAACTGTTTTGACAAGGAAATTAAGGATCGGTAGAATGGTAATTGAAGATTTTAGTAGATTTAGGAATCCAAATTTGCCAATTCCAGATTTGGTATGCGTGTGGAAAGAAGAGATACAGAGATGGTCATTGGTATCATATATAAATGGATGGCAGACTTTGGTTGAATAAGAAGCATGTTTCCACCGCTTAAAAGTGACCAACCAAATGGTGACGTGTTACCATAAAAAATAAGAAAAATTAAAAATATGGTATATTTAATGTATAATGGGGAAAGACATCCAATTTTTCCGATTTGACACCCTCTTAGACACTCTTTGGTCGATCTACTAATGCTCTCTTAATTTTTTTTTTTACAAAATCGTTGGATTAAATGTTTAAGGTGGTGTTTGTTTTTTTTAAAATACCTCTTCAAACCTCTTAGTGTTGCGCGGCGCAGCACACACGTAACACTTTTAAGTTTGCAGCAGTTTGTTTTTTAAAAGACTTCGGGCTCCAAAACTTCTTCTCGTCCTCTTCCCCACACAGCATTGGGTTTGGCTCTTCTCACATCTTCTAACCTAATAAACAAAAAAAAAAACCCTAAACAAAAATAAGAAACACGGATGATCGCTCCAGCCGTTCTCCTTCTTCGCTCGTTCTCCTTCTTCGTTCTCAGCTTTCCCTCGTCGATTGCCGACTCCAGCCACTCGTCGGTCACCACTGCTGCTGTCCGATGCTCGTTCTTTGCTGCCATCGTCTTCAACATCGACATGTTAGTTTTTTTTTTTTTTTTTTCCTGATTTCTTATTTTAGTACCGATTTTATGCTATGTAGTACCAAATTTCTGCTTTGAGTACCAATATTGTTGCTGAGATATGAAGAATTTTTACCTAATCTCCCCAAACAACAAAACCCAGATCGTATTTCACTTCTTCGCCTCTTGAAGCACCGAACAATGGAGCTCCTAAAAATATTCATGGCTTTGGCTTTGAGTTCAACCTAATTCTTGTAAGTATATGTTGATTTGATGCATGTCAATGAAAAATCTGATTTTTGTTATTCTGATTTGCTTCCAACCATGTATATTTTTCCTTTCTTCACTGAATTGGATGTCTAAAGAGTGGATAGATAGTATACATCTAGTGGTAGTAATTTAAGAGGGAAACAAGTTGTGCACTACAGGTGCTCGATGAAATGCTTGAGAGAATATTGAAGTTTAATTTAATTACATTTCGTTTGGTCTTGCACATTTCTAGTAACAAATGCAAATGGTCAAATGGTAAATGCTTGTAATTAGAAGTATGCTAGTAAAAATGTGATGTATTTATACTCTTTGTAATCATAATTGTATTTGTGAAGCAGGTGAAGCAAAGGCAAAAAGGAGCCAAAAGAATGTTGCTTCAAGTGTTGAATGAAGTTTTTGTGAATAAGCTCCAAATCAAGAGCAGTTTGAAGCAATTCATAAAGATGTTATTTAGCTAAAACAATGTAATTTTAATGTTAATTCATTTAATTTGTAAATAGTATTTAATAGTATTGAATGTTTTTATAAAAAAATGTAATGAATTTTATTTCAATGTTGTAAGACTAAAATTATTAGTTTTTTTAAAACTACTTTAATTTTGTAAAATTAATTTATTTAAATTTCAATTTACTGCAGCAGTCTGCAGAGGTTAAAAAACAAACAAACTTCTTATTATAGGTTGCAGCCGTTTGGTCCACCTCTTTTACTACAGAGGATTGCAGAGGTGATCCGCAAACTTCCTGAACTTTTGCTTCCAAAAAACAAACAACACCTAAGTACATAACGATAGTAGCACAATCTTTTTAAGTTGCTCTCAAGACTGGCAACTAGGAATAATGATTTTGAAAAAAAAAAAAAGATTGATTTATTAATTCGATTAATAAATTGAAATAAGTAATTTATTAATATATTATTATTATAAGAATAATATATTAATTAGAAATAGTAATATTTAATTAATATTTAATCAAAAATTAATTAGAATTAATTTTGAGATTAAAACAACTAATTAAAAGTGTAGGGACTGAATTGTAATAGTTTAATAGTTGAGTAAGAGGCAATCTAGAACCCTCTAAAGGCTATGGATGGTTTTCTAGAGCCTTAGGGTTTCTAGAATAGTCTCTTATGGATAATCAGGAAAGTGAATAATTACCCAGTTTAAGATAATCTTGGATTTAGGCTTATCTAGGTGTCACACCCCCGAACCAGACGGCGGAAACGTCCGGAGGCTATCGTGACTCATTGAATACCATTACAATGCATATATATGAAACATAACATTATACATCACCAACATTTGGAATTGATACAACTGGTAACGTTTACATACATTACATTGTTCCAAAAATTACATTCAAAGAAATAACTGTTTGGTATTACTTAAATCATAGCAAAACGTCAGCAAGTACAAATCACCTTCACTTTATCTGTTACCTGAGAATACAAGTATTTTGAAAAACGTCAACATATGAAATGTTGGTGAGTTCATAAGTAGAGTTTGAAATCCGATGTGTTGTTTGAAAACCTTTAGAAAATCCGATATTTTCTAGAAATTGATTAGTGTAAAAATAATAAGTGATGATCCATGAGTATGCTTGTTTGAATTCTATAGATGTAAGCGTAAGGGTTGTGAAGTTCGATCGGAAATTTGTAATCGTTATTGAAATCCTAGGAAAACCCGACGTTTTCCTATCGTTGTATCGTTGTATTCCGGAGGCATCGAGGGTACAGAGGGTGGTGAAGTGTTGGGACAAGCGTTAGTGAAAACGACAAGTCAACAACCTTACAAGCGATCCTTATAGGCGTCACTCGTAAATCTTCACGCGACTCGATCCTCCCGGACTTGTTAAGTCCCACGACCGGAGGGAAGGAAAAAGGTACGAAACCTTCAGGGTTTCCCCGCGTCGTCCGAGACCAAATGCAATTGCGAAGGGCCCGAAGCCCAACTCGCAATCGTGAGTTACAGACTTTACTAGCAGCACTGAAGGACCCTTGGGGACCAGCAGCATATTGCCATTGAAAGTCCTGTTACGTCATGTAGGGTCGGTAAAACCCAACACTTCGTAAGAGAGAGAGACCTTCGGGCCTTAAGATCAGGTCGTTGGGCTAGCTAGGCTCAACAGACAAGATTTTACACTTTTGGGGCCCAAAGATGGTGCGTAGACGTCTGTGCACACTCGCATGTAATCGTAATCGTTATGGTTATAAATCGAAATGTCGTAACTTCGTCGTGTTAGTGGTTTTGGATTTTTATTGGTTCGAGACCGAACCAATTCGTTTGACAACGTCTTTTGGTATTGTAGTATATTGTATTTCGTCGATAAGCGTGTTACCATCAATTGGTCAAATTGCATGTATTAACTAGCCTTGAAGATTTTCTGTTTTCAGCCCTTCCTTAATTATGGAATTTACTCTTTTTACCCCTTTATTTAAAAACTTTCCGGTTTGGTCCCTAAATCAATTTTTTTGACATTTTTATACCAAAAATTGTTGTCATAAGTATTTTTCCAGCAACTTATCATAGAAAACAGTTTAAGCCCTTGAAACTTCAGTTTTCTCGGTTATAGCCCCTATTTTTCGCAACTTTTACATTTTTGACCCAATTTGGAAAAATTTTACAATTTTGGTCCCCTTTAAATTTGGAAAGCATTTTAAACCCTTGAAAAGCTATGGAACACTTGTAGCCCACTGTTTTACAGAAAAATGCAGTTTTGGTCCTCCAATTTAGAAAATTTCGCATATTGGGCCTTATTGGGCCGAAAATGTCATGTTTAGCCCAATAAGCTTGGAATTTATATTTTTAACCCTCTAAATGGTATATTTTCAGAAAAATACATTATGCAAACTGTTTGGACTCATCACCCCATCAGATTTCGAAATGTTTCATGTTAGGCCCTTCAACTTTGCATTTTCAACATTTTATGTCAAAAAAATGAGTTTTTAGCCCAAGTTAAGTGTTGTTAAGCTATTTAGCAATTTTCTTAGTATACTTTGCATGTGATAGTCTATTTTGTGCTATGATAAAATGTATGTCTCGGTTTTTAGCATATCACCCTAGATCTATCAATAAAATCATACAAAACATACATATAAGCATAGAAATCAACCACAACATACACATAATGATGGATCTTCACATTTTCTTGTATTCTCCCCCATAAAAACTCATAAAAATCGAAAATAAGGGGATATGAAACTCACCTTGGGTGTTGTTTCGGTTTTTGGAAGAAAAGATGGAAGAAAACTTGATGATTTTTGGCCTTAGCACCTTTCCTTGGTGGATCTCGAGTTTGAGATGGTTCTAGGGTGCAAGATCACGATTTTTGCATAGTTTAGGAAAGGATTTTGATAACAAAAAGAATTTGAATCATAGATCCATGCAATATCTTACCTTAGATGAAGAATTTTGTGGAGATTTCCTCTTGAAGGCTTCCTAGAACTCGAGATTTTTGAGTGGAGAGGGAGAGATGTTCTTGAGTGTTCTAGAGAGGATTTTGAGAGAGTTTTGGTGTGTGTGAGTGGGTGTTCGGCCGAGAATGAGAGAGGAGAGAAGAAGAGATGTGATCTTGAAGTGATTTGCATGGAAGAATGGGAAATAATGCATGGAAGTCCTATGGGTAATAGTGAGGTGGCAAGCAAATAGTCAACTCTTCCTCATCTTCTTGGATTTGGCCTTGGGCCGAGAATGAGGAAGGGAAGAAGGAAAAATTGGGCTTTTTGCCCCTAAGCCCAACATTAGAGGTAGTTTAGGGTATTTATTGGCCTTATAAAATAAAATTGTGATTTTTATGCTTCATTAAGCTAGGTTAGGTTAAATTATGGATCAAAGCTTGTGATTTATTTCATTCTAGGTTCTACCTAGCCCAAAATATTGAAATAAACGAATGTGGGTCCAATTAGAGCCCAATTAGGGTCCTAAGCCCATGATAGTCCAATTGGAAGTTTATTGGTCCATTTGGATCCAATAAGGAAGTTCTAGTCCAAAATGGACTTAACTTGGAACTTCTAGGGTTTTCCAATTGTTTGCTGACTATTTGTAGTACTTGTATATTGTATTTGATTGAAGTTTTTGATTCACATTAGGTTGAATGTATAGATTACATGACACAAAATTTCCAGTTATGACATCATCCCCCCGTTAGAGGGAATTTCGTCCCGAAATTCTGTTTGAAAGCTAGGTTTGAGAAAACTAGAATAGGTGAGGGTACTTTTGTTTCATTTGGTCTTCGCGTTCCCAAG